GATGGGCTCAGGTATAGCAAGGACTATGGGGCTGGCACAAGACTGGGCAGTGTTTCATTCTGCTGTGCATAGGGTGGCTGTGAGTCGGAGATGACTTGACAGCACTTAACAACAACAACAACAACAATGTAGCCAACATGGTTGGACCCTTCAGAAGAGAAGTCTGTCTCTGAGAGTACTACCTCCTCAGGCGCTGTTAACCACAAACTCAGGGCTGAGGTGGTTCAGAACTCCCAACCCTCTCTGTAACCCCATCAAGATTATTTTACCTAAATTGTTGAGGAAATGATTATTATTTCTCCTAATGATATTTAAACTTCTTACTGAGGAAAGTATCTCCTATCTTGTCTTAGCCTATTCTGGGGTTTGACACCTTCCTGTTTCTGGCTATGTTTGGTGAACTCTGTGATGGTGGAGATCATGGAGATTACAGTAGTGACAGAGGTCATGGTGATGACAGGTTCCATTTATGGAGCACTCCCATGTAGCAGGCATTGTGCTAAGTACACTATATGCATGATCCCATTTTGTCTTCAGTTCTGTGAGGGTCACTTGTTCACTCTTTGTCATTGAGTCAATTCTGATTCATGGTGACCTGTATTGGATTTTCAAGGCTGTAAATCTTTTTTTTTTTCCTAAGTTTTTATTTGTGATTTGAGTGGAAGTTTACATAGCAATAGGTTTTCCACTCAACTGTCCACACACATTTTGCTTCAGGAGATTGATTATAATCCCCATAATACAGTAACATTGCTCCTACTTCCTCCCTGTGTTTTCTGTCTCCATTTATCCTTCTCTCCTATCCCTTCCTGAGGAGCTCTGGTAGCATAGTGCCTAAGGCACTTGACTGCTAACCAGAAGGCTGGCGGTTCAAACCCACCAGCCACTCCTTGGAAGGAAGATGGGGCAATCTACTTCCATAGTGATACTGCCTCAGCAGCCCAAGGAGGGGTCGCTATGAGTCGGGTCCGACTTGACGGCACATAACAACAACAACAACATCCCTTCCTGATATCCCTTCCCTTATGAGTTTTATCCCTGGGCAAAAGCTGACCTTTTTTTTTTTTTTTTTTTTAATTGTTATTTGGGTGCAGATTTACAGAGCAGATTCCTTTTACTCTAAACAGTTCATGCACATTTGGTTTCACAGCCCCAATTACAATCCCAACCATAAAAAACTCTCCTCCCTATGACTACCCCTTCTCTGTGCCTTTCTTATCTGTGCATTCCTGTCTGTCTAGCTTTCCCTCTATGTAAATGCTGTCCAAGGCTGTAAATCTTTATGGAAACAGACTGCCTCATCTTTTTTCCACAAAGTGGCTGGTGGGTTCAAACCACCGACCTTATGGTTAGCAGCCAGATGCCTTAACCACTGCACCACCAGAGCTCCTTTTTATGAGGGTAGGTAACATTATTATCATCCCCATTGCAGAAACAGGTTGGGGGGTGGGGCGAGGAAATGATACCTTATGAAATTAATCATTGGCTAATACAGTTGGAGCATTAGTCGACTAATGATTAACTAATTGTAAAGATATAAAGAAATTACTTTTTGTTTTATTATTCACTGCAGTGGGCATTGTAATTACAGTGCTAATGACAATTTACCAGGTTGTTAGAAGGGATATTAGGATGTCCTCTGTTATAGCAGGCTTTTGGTTTCGTTGGGTTTACCTCTTCAGTCAGTTATTAGGTATAGTAAACATTCATTGATCTGAAATAGAGGATGATTTGGACATGGGCTGCACCCAAGTTTACCTTTAAACTTCAAGAAAAAATTAAGGATTTAGTAAACAAACAATAGAAAAGGAGACTATCTGTTTAAGGGGAATATAATTGTTTTAGCCCTCCAAACCCTGCTTTTTACATGCATATAATGTCAAAAGATTATAGGCATCTACCTGTGGTTCAGCTCTGGTGGTATAGTAGTTACAGCATTCAGCTGTTAACTGAAAGGTCAGAGGTTCAAACCCACTAGCCGCTCCACAGGAGAAAGGAAGCAGTCTGCTTGGGTAAAGATTTACAGCCTTGGGAACCCTATTCTGCTCTAAAGGGTCGCTATGAATCAGAATTAACTCAATGGCAGTGAGTTTGGTTTTTTTTTTTATTTCAATATACTGATCACCTCTTCATTAAAACTTGGTCTCTTCTCAGCTTACCGATTATTTCAGTCAGAGTAATAAAACTACAGTTCTTTAAATATACTGTTACACAGCGCAACACAGTGCACTACCGTGGAGTCAGATCTGACTCATAGTGACCCCTCCTTGGGTTTCCTAGGCAATGTCATACTGAAGTAGATTGTCTAACCTTCCTTCCAAGGAGTGGCTGGTGGGTTTGAACTGCCAGGCTTCTGATTAGCAGTCAAATACTTTAGGCACTATACCACCAGAGCTCCCAGATATATGTAGTAGTTAAAGAGTCCCTAGGTGGCTCATACAGTTAAGGACTTAACTACTAATTGACAGGCTGGCAGTTCACACCCACCCAGAGGCACCTTGGAAGACACGTCTGGAGATCTGCTTCTGAAAGGTCATAGCCATGAAGCCCTATGGAGCAGTTCTGTTCTGCATCCATGGGGTGGCCATGAGTTGAATCAACTCAGTGGAAACTAACAACAGACTTTTAAGTGTCTAACCTTTTTTTGTTGAAAATAGCCGTTTGGGTTTGATTATCAGTGAATGCAGAGTTTTTCAGAACATTGTCAGTGAAATGTAGTTATAATAATGTTTTTGAAAAAATAGAGGGAAACTAAATATTTCTCTTTAGTTTCCCATTTTCTTGCCCCATTATCATATAAACAGAGTACAGACGGTCAGCAGAAGGCGTGTTGTTTATATCTTAGATTATGTTTCTGTTTTCACTTGGTTTTAAAGTGAACTGATGTAGAACGGCAATTTGAAAATGTTTTGTGTTTATGATAATACACATTTTTATCTTTGACATATCAGAATGCGAAAGTAAAATTAAGTGTGTTAAAAAAGAAAAAAACACTTGATTTTAGCTGATTTAAATTCAGGTAGGGTTTATAGAAAAAAATGAAAACAAATATATTTCTTCCCATTCTTGCTTACTGATGGCTATCATCCGTGACTCTGAGGTTCTTTTTAAAAAATCAGGTTTATAGATTTGTAGGCTCAGGCTTTATGTCTATTGACTTTCATAGGTTTGACAACACATAGTTCTGGGTATTTTACTTTGATTTGATGACTATCTGTAACTTCAATATATTTACTATTTTTATTTCATTTATTTATAAATGTATTTTCACCAAAAAATGATTTTGTCACAAAACAGCTCCAAATGTAGAATTGGAATGATAAATATACAGCTCGAATTCCCTAAAGCAAGTGGTCTTGATTATATTTTGATGAAACAAAAATATTTTTTTGTGTGTTACTTCTGAAACTTCAGGCTAAATTGTGGTCTGTTTTCACTTTGATACAGGAACAACTGAAAATGAAGGATCAGTCATTGAGAAAACTACAACAGGAAATGGACAGTTTGACATTTCGAAATCTGCAGCTTGCCAAGAGGGTAGAACTGCTACAAGATGAACTGTCTCTAAGTGAACCACGAGGCAAGAAAAACAAGGTAGATTCAAATAAAAGCAAATTAGTGTGACCTTGTTGTTAAGTACAGAAGTCTTTAGGCTGGCCTAGTTTTAAAAGAGGACCCCACCCCAGAATTATTTTTTTAATTTACTCCCAAATATTACACCTGGATATTGGATGAAGAAAGCAGGCATTTACTATTAATTCATTTTATATAAATTATGTTTGTTTTTTATTGTTGTTTCCTTAAATTTTATTTATTTTCTTGTTGAGAATATACATAGAAAGACATACACCAATTCAACAGTTACTACATGTACAATTTAGGAACATTGATTATATTCTTTGAGTTATGTAACCATTCTCATCCTTCTTTTCTGAGTTACTCCTCCCTCATTAACATAAACTCACTGCCCCTTAAGCTTCCTATCTAATCTTGTGAGTTGTTGTTGTCAATTTGATCCCATATAGATAGTTCTTAAAAGAGCATAATGTTCAAGGCAGACCTTTGTTTTTTCTTTTTATTTTGAGTTGGGTGAAAGTTTACAGAGCAAATTGGTTTTCCATTTGGTGATCCATATACATTCTATTTTGTGACATTTACTGCAATCCCCGTACTGTAACAGTATACTTCCTACTTCCTCCCTGCATCCACCCCTTCCTTTCATTCTTCCTTCCCATCCCCTCCTGCCTTCCTAGCTTTGTCCCTGGGCAAATGCTGTCCTCTTGATTGCATGTGCTTGATTGTGGTAATGAGGGCATACCCTCCTGATCTTATTGTTTACCTTATGTACCTCTGTCTATTTGGCTACCAGTTGAGACATGGGGGGTTAAGTTTAGTTCATAGCTTGAAGCGTATCTAAGGTCCATAGTCTTGTGGGTTCCACCAGTCTTCATCAGACCAGTAATGGTGTTTTTTTTTTTTACGATTTTGAGTTTTATTCCACATTTTCCCCTACTCTATCCAGGTTCTTTTATTGTGATCCCTTTCAGAGTGGTCAGCAGTGATAACTGGGCACCATCTAATTTTTCTGGTCTCAGGGTCATGGAGCCTGGGGTTTAAATGCTCCATTACTCCTATGGACTAATTATTTCCTACATCTTGATTTCTTCACTCTTCTTTGCCCCTTAGATGGCTGTTCACAAGTTTTTAAGACCTTAGTCTCTACTCACCATAGTACGATGTAGAACATTGTCTTCATGGACTGTATTATGCCTAAGACTATGGGCCTAAGACTCCATTCCAGCAACTCATTCCCTCAAGGTGTTTGGTTATGACTAAGATGTTTCCATAACTCTGTATCCCTGTATGCTATACTACATTCATGGATACATTTGCAAAACATATAAATACATAGGTAGAGAAAGCCTTTGTCAAACCTGTATATATTTGTGGGTATAGTCCCATAAGGCAGACCTTTTTTATATTAGTTAAGCTAAACTTTTATTCAGTTTTAAGGAGACTTCAGGGGATATTTTTGGTTTAATGTTTCAAGGTTATCTGTAGGCAATAGTTCCATGGCTCCAGAAAGTCCAGAGTCTATAAGAATTTGAAATTCTGTTCTGCATTTTCCCCCTTTTGATCAGGATTCTGCTGTGGAGTCTTTGATCAAAATGTTCAGTAATGGTAGCTGGACACCATCCAGTTCTTCTGGTCTCGTGGCAAAGGAGGTATATGAAATTAAGTTTTAAAGAATTTATTAGGGCAAACATTTGCGTTGTTAATTAAGTGGCTGAGAAAAGTAGATGGAAATCTCATATTGGTCAAAATTGTTGGTATCTTTTAGCTATACCAAGTTGCCATTAACACAAAGTAGAACGCATAAGATGAGAAACATTGTCAAGATGTAACTGCTTTTCATATGATGTGAAAGTGACAGTAGAAACACTCATACCTTAAACCATACCAAACTGATTGCCATTGAGTCAATGTGACTCATAGCGACCCCTCCTTGAGTTTCCAAGGTGGTATCTCTACAGAAGTAGATTGCCTATTCCATGGCAGATACATTTCCTAAGTGTTAATTCTTACAAGGACAAATTGGTATTTTTGCCTTGACTATATTTGCTACGTAATGGGCATTCAGCTTAAATATATGTTAGTAACTTTTCCATATGCATTTCCCTTACATGGACAAATTCTCTAGAGCAGTAGTTTCCAAGTAAAAGGGGGATAGAGAAGGCAAAACAGGTATATTTTAGAACAGCCTGGGAAAATTTCCCAAAATGCACGTGCTCTGGAAATTCTGAAAGACCCTAGGGCATATAGCCATCTATACTTTAACAATGCTCCCAGATTATTAAGGGCTTCTTCAGGACTATTTTAACTAAGGTTTGGGAATAAGACTTCTGAATGAATTTTAATGAAAGCTTTCTGAATTTTGAAATGCTACAATTCAGCATTGTTTCTTATGTACCTCTTGTGTTCTAAACATGGTGAATATTGAATATTTTTTTATATAGTTGCTCCATTTTCAAAGGACTGTTCAATCTTTGGTTCATATTATCATATTAGCTCAGTAGGTGACTTAGTGAGGAGTTAGGGGACAAGAAAGGCAAAGAAGGGTGGGGATTGATGTATGAACACAGATGCATTGTTAGCCTGTCTTTTGAATAGTCTCAGTTCTATGTGATACATGAAAACAAATGTTCATTATTGGACATTTTAAATAGTGCTATTCTTCTCTCTAGAAAATTTTAATGTTAACAAAAAAGCAAAAGGAAGGTATTTTTCCTAATTCTTGAGCTTTTTTCTGCTGCTTCTTTATAATGGCTTTATTTTATATCATTGTACTTTTTTAAAAAAAAAATAGAAACTTATGTGAACTTCTGGATGAAGTTATCTTTGTGAATGCTGTTAAGCAATTTATTAAAATTTCTTAAAGGATTTTAACGGTTTAGACTCATGGAATTACTAAAACTGTCATTTCCCAAACCAAAAGATCATATTGCAATGAATGATATTTTTTAGCATATTTGTATTGCTTGCTTTCTGGGTCTGTCTGTCCTCCACCAGAACTACTACTAAATTCATCTACAAAGAATAGCAAGCCTTACCGATTCTTTTCTCTGTCTCTCTTTTAAGCTTCCCTATCCATTGCAACATCTGCAGTTTCAACTTGTGTCACATAGGAAAAGTTAAATGATGGACTGTAGGCCTTTTGCAGGATTTTTTGAGAATGGTGAACACCTAGAAGAGACAAGCTACTAAGGTGGTAGCGAATCTGTGTACCTTAGGGTGTTTCTCTAAAGGATGAAAGTTATGTGGACATAACTTATTCTTTCCATCAGAAAAGTGGAGAATCTTCCTCTCAGTTGAGTCAAGAGCAGAAGAGTGTCTTTGATGAAGATCTGCAAAAGAAGATAGAAGAGAATGAACGTTTGCATATACAAGTGAGTAAACCTTTCAGCTTTTCTTGTTTGGTTAAAAAATGGGTGTATGACAGAGAATATTGACAAAGCAGTACAGATATAGTAGAAAATTTTATGTATGTGTGGGTGTTTTAATGTCTCCTTTGGTCTTAGGTATATATGTACATTGTTTATTCGTTTCTTAAATCCCTTATTTATCTTAAGGTGGCTGTGTGCTTTGAAGTATGCCTCTTTGTTCAGAGAACAACACAATAACTTTATAGCTTAATAATATAGAAATATATGGGAACTGGCTCTGGTGGCGTAGTGCATAAGGCATTTGACTGCTAACCAGAAGACTGGCAATTCAAACCCACCAGCCACTGCTTGGAAGGAAGACTGGGCAATCTACTTTTGTAGAGATCCTGCCTTGGACACCCAAGGAGGGGTTGCTGTGAGTCGGAATTGACTTGATGGCAGTGAGTTTGTGTTTTTAGTTTTTTCATTTGCTTTATATAGGAAAATACTGAATGGATCATTTAAGTAGGTAGTGCATTTGGCTGCTAACCAAAAGGTAGGGAGTTTGAATCTACTAGCTGCTATGCAGGAGAAATATAAGGCAGTCTACTTCCTTAAAGATTTACAGCCTTGGAAACACTATGGGGCAGTTCTGCTGTGTCCTACATGGTCACTATGAGTTGACTCAATGGATGTGGGTTTTTTTTTAGATCCATACATAGGGCTTACTTTTTAACTGTAATATTTAGTTGGTTTTGTATCTGTTTCTTGATTAGCTATAAGGTCTGTGAGGGTATAGACCATGTTGATTTATTTTGTGTGGCCAGCCCAGCACGAAGCCTCATCCGTGGCTGACACACATATTTGTGAAATGCTGGAAACAATGAATGAGTGCCCCACACTTCTTAGAATATTGTAAAAGTCATGGTGTAGTGTATTCAAGTATATCTTTTTTTTTTTTTTTTTTCATAATCATATGGCTAAATAAGCATGCACTAATTCTCAATCTTTAAAAATGTAAAAAGTGAACTTTTGACCTCAGTGTATTTTGTGTCTAAGTATTCATCATTCTTAATTAGTAATGGTCTCTCAGTAGAGTGAAGCTGTTTATTATCTATTTTAACAATACATTTATTTTAATTCTGATTGTCTAATTGTGGCAGTAAGCCTAGTAGGAAAGTTATACACTGACCAATTGAATTCTTTGTGTGTCAGAAATTATTTGAAAGAAAAATTCATAAGACTGGAAGGAAGAAGGCTTTGGAGTAGATTTCCTATGTTCAAATCTCATTTCTACTATATTTTAGTTATGAGACACTAGACAAGTCATACAACCCCACTAAGCCTTGGCTTCCACATCTGAGAAACGGGGATGATAATAGGAACCCCTGATAAACTGTGATGACCCAATAAGATCATGCCAGGGTGGGTGAAGTATAGTGAGCATATGGAGTCATGTGGAAATTGCTCAGTGAGTATTTGCTGCTTTTCTTTTCTTTTTTGTTTATATGTGTGAGGATATTTTGAGAAGAGAAATCATCTCTCTCTTTCAGTTTTTTGAAGCTGACGAGCAACATAAGCATGTGGAGGCAGAGCTGAGGAGTCGACTGGCCACGCTGGAGATGGAAGCCACCCAGCACCAAGCAGTAGTCGATGGCCTAACACGGAAGTACATGGAAACCATTGAGAAACTGCAGAATGACAAGGCTAAACTAGAAGTAAGCCCACTATTTGGGAGAGAGTGTTGCCTAATAATCAAGGCTTTTACAAATTGTCTGTGAACTCTGTAGAGCACAAAGTTAGTCATGCAGGGTGAGACTGTTGCCCACGCTATCTTGTAAGTATGCCTACATCTGTCACCTGAGCCGTCTCCTTTTTTTCCTTCTTAAATTCAGGTAAAATCTCAGGCCCTAGAAAAGGAGGCCAAGGAATGTCGACTTCGAACGGAAGAATGGTATGTGGAAATGTGAATTCTAAGGGGGGCCTAAAGTAAGACTCAAGAGACCTACATTTTTGCTTTATCAATTCCTGTCTTAATTTTTTCACATTTGAAATGAGGAAACAGGAGTAGGAAATCTCCAGCATCCATTTCAGTTTTGTGATCTTTAGGGTCTTAAGCATTCTTGATAGAGTGGTTTGTGCGCTAGTCCTCAGCCTGCAGATGTTTTGGGTTATGGTAGATAACTTTCTGAGACTCCTGTACTGAGGACTGGGTGCTTTCTGTTTCAGACTACCCTAATGCCCTCTGATAGTCCCAGGCAGGACAACTAATAATCACAAGACATATCTTTTTTTTTTTAAAAAGTATATTTTGAATTAAATAGAGGTTATATGATAATATTTGGAAATATCTAAATCTTAGAATTAAAACATTACTTATGGATGGGAGTTCAAGGCTACTCTGTCATTTACTTGATAAATAAGTAATATTTTAGGTTTTAATAGGATCGATTCAAGTGTATTTCTTTTTCAGTTTACTTGCATTAGCAGTAAACCATTATATACATGGTTCAGATGTGTACCTATTCTTATAGTTGAATTTAAATCAGAAAAAAAAGTCTATTTTCTTTGAGCTCAAGGAAAAAGATCTAACATAGTATTTATAAAAAAACAAAACAATTGTGCAGTAATACTTGAATGAACACTTAATGTGTTGTAAAGAGAAAATTCATGATTTTGAAATGGCTCTAAAATTACCTTAAGTTTGAGGAAATAAACTTAAGTTTGTATAAGATACTGGGACTGTGATAAATTCTTCCAAACTTCCATATCATGCAACACGAGTCCTAGAGGTTTTGGAATTGAGGCTTAGTATTTTTCTCATCTTTATCTTTGAACAATTCTGTGCTATGAAGTGTATCTCGGATGTGAGGCACAATTCTGAAGCCCAGTACCAGCTATTAAGGTGACCATCAAATGAAGATTCACTGTCTCATTGGTGATAATATGGTTTTGTATTTTTTTCTTTCAGTCAATTGCAGTTAAAGAATCTTCATGAAGATTTGTCAGGTAGATTAGAGGAATCCTTATCAATCATCAATGAAAAAGTACCTTTTAATGATACAAGTAGGTATTATGTACACTTTTCCATTATTTGCAACTTTGAACCCAATTTGTGGTAGTCAGTTAATTAAAATAATTTCTGATCTATTTGGCAAAAACACAACACAAGGTTGCCTTCTTTTTGTTCTTTTGATGAGCTTTGGCCTTCATGTTTCATAGGGGAGAGTTCAGATTGATATACAACTACTCCAAAGCCAATTTTCTTGGAGGAAGCCCAAATCCAGAATTTTTTTTATCACCATGTCCCAAGGTAAAAACATGAGACATCCAAATGTTGGTGCAGGAAAGGTTTTGCTCATGGTGGTTGGTGAGGGAGGAGGATCTTCTCAGGCTGGTATCTTATACCTCCTGCCCTTTGATTATGTCTGATCACTAGTGACAGTTAGAAGGGTGGCTTGGGTAAGTGCTGTTTCCTCTTCACCCTGAGAATGGCCTGGTGGGAAGTCTACACACCCAAGAGCAACAACCACAAAACCTTTGAAAACAACAAAAAACATTAATTTGCATGTATAATAGGTAGCAAAATTGTCATTTCTAGACAATAATAAAGACAAAACTGTGAAAGCAAAGAAGATATTTAATTGTTTGGATTTTGAAACTTATAGTCAAATTGATAAACATTTCCTTTTTCTACAATCACATGATTGAAATTAATTTTTACTTCTGCTAAATTTTCTTAGAGAGGATTTGTAAAATGAGGAAAGAAGATAAACCAAAGAAAAACAGCAGTTCAGTTAAACATTAAAATCAGGAAATGTCATTATTATATAAAAAATTTAAGTCCCCCTTTGAAAATACTTGTTTTTAGCTTTTACATTAATCTAAATAACACTAGCATACTTTCAGCCACTACACTTGAAACCTGGGCATTTTGTTTTTTCTTTAATCCCAGTTTCTATTAGTCATCAGGTTCTAATAATTTGCTTTCTTTTGGACTTATTCTTCCTTTTCTAAGACTGGTTGTCCCCTGTTTTAGGTGCTGATCACCTCACAGGCAGGTTATTACTTTGAGTTGGGAAGTAATTAGAGATCATGTGCTGAGTGCTCAGATGGGTGGATAACATAAACTAATAACCAAACCTGTTGTTGTCAAGTTGATTCTAACTTATGGGGACCCCACATGCTGCAGAGTAGAACTGCTCCATAGGGTTTTCTTTGCTGTGAAGTTTATGGATGGAGCTCTGGTAGCATAGTGCCTAAGGCATTTGACTGCTAACCAGAAGACTGGCGATTCAAACCCACAAGCCATTCCTCAGAAGGAAGATTGGGCTATCTACTTCCGTAGAGATACCACCTCAGAAACACAAAGAGGGGTTGCTGTGAGTTGAATTGACTCGACGGCAGTGAGTTTGGTTTCGTTTTTTTTTTTTGGATCCTTTATGGAAATAGACCACCAGGCCTTTCTTTTGTGGCACCACTGGGTGGGTTTAAACTGTCAACCTTGCGGTTAATAGATAAGCACTAACTGTTATCGCCATCTAAGGAACTAGTAGGTAGCATATGGGGTACAAAGATTTATACAAGTGTCTTCCTTATGGAAGAGGTAGGGTATAGAAATGTCTAAAATATAAGCTAGACTATGCCTTAGTGAATGTCTTGAGCCTCCATAGGAAGAAGAGATAACTTCTGGTTTGGGGACACCTTCCTGGAAGAAGTGTGCTTTAAACCAGGCCTAAATGGATGAGTAGGTTTTATTGGGCATAGATGAGGGAAAATTAAACAGGGAATTGCAAGGAGTATCGTATATAGGACAGAAGGTAGCATCATGGTGTGAGGAGCAGTCATTAGGTATGACTGGAAGCGTGGGTGAATGGTCATGTGTAGTCAGGTTTTAAAAGGAGTGTGGGACTGGATCATAGAGTTCTGGACTAGGGACTTGGGCTTTTAACCATAAGTCATTGAGGTTGTTAAATTTTTGAGTAAAAGAATTTCATGATGAAATTTGTGTGCTCATGAAATTAATCTGCCAACAGAGTGTAGACAACACTGGAATGGGAGAAAGGAGTTGAACTACTATGATGATAGTCATGATAGTGTGATACATGATAGTGTGCTATAATGGAGCCTTGAGTCTGGGTTGTCAGGGAAGATGCAGAAAGTATTCAGGAAAGAGAAAGGACAGCTTGGTCCTTGGCTGGGTGTGAGGGCAAGGGAAAGAAAGGAGGCAGTGTGGTGGCAAGATACTGGTTCATCTGATAGAAATAAAAGAGTCTTGTAGGCAAGTAGCAGTTTTATGGGAAAGATGATAAGGTTAACTTTGTCGTTGTTTAATATTCTGACAGATTAATTGGTGTATATGTTTGTCATTGTTAATGTTCTATGTCAGCTTGATTAGGCTGTGGTCTCAGTGGTTTGGCAAGACATTGGACTAATTGTTCTTCCATAATGTGATTTAATGCAATCATCCTACATTTTGTGACTGGATATGAACAGTGGAAAAGCCAATCACTTTAAAGCTAATCAGTTGAAATCCACTCATTTTCCTTGGGAGTGTAGCCTGGATCAAATATATGTGGATGTTCTGGCAAATCTCTCTCTTTCTCTGGATCCTGCATCTGACTTGTTATCCTGACCTCTGGTTCTTGGGATGTGAGCCAGCAGCCTGACATCTAACCTGCAGATTTTGAGGTTTACCAACTCCCACAGCTCCATGAGCCAGCAACCTGCCATCTGTACAACGATTTTGGGTTCATCACCCTCTGTAACCACATGAGTCAGAAGTCTCCAACCTGACCTGACTCACAGATTTAGGACTTGGCATCCTCCACAACCGCATGAGCCATTTCCTTGAAATAAATATCTCTTTGTATATGGATATAGATGTAGATATAGATATGCTCACTGGTTTTGCTTCTGTAGAGAGCCTAACCTAAGACATTTGGTACCAAGAATGGTTCTAGAGGAAGAAAATCTTAAGGATGAGTTTTCTTAATTGATTCTCAAGTCTGGCTAGACCTAAATACACTGATAAATCTAATTTTAATAGGGAAGAGGGCACTGCTTATCCATGGTGTAAGGTGGCAGTATTATTGTGCAAAATATCACAACCAATAGTTCAAGCATTGGTGAGAAGCAAGGCTCTGGGTGATTGTGTATTTGATACCTTTCAATACTTTCATCAAACTGAGAAGTAGAAGGAGGCTTGTTGGTTGGTCCCACTTTCCCTAGATAGATGGTTATAGAAAGAGATGAGATGAAGGCTGCAGACTTTTACAGTCAAGTACGGCATAAAAGACTTGAAAATTGCCACTTGTGCCCTGAAAAGAACACCTTTTTTTTTAATTTTTACAGTGTTTCCTCCCCTCCCCTCCCACTCCTAGTAACCAACAAGGAAAGTTTCCTTCCATATATAAACCTTTCCTTGACTTTTTACAGTAATGAACTAATACAATATTTGTCCTTCTGTGACTGACTTATTTCACTCAGCATACTATGAAAGAAAGGAGTTCTGGTGGCGTAGTGCCTAAGGCATTTGACTGCTAACCAGAAGGCTGGTGGTTCAAACCCACCAGCCACTCCTCGGAAGGAAGATTGGGCAACCTACTTCCATAGAGATACTGCCTTGGAAACCCAAGGAGGGTTTTTTATGAGTCAGGATTGATTCTATGGCAGTGAGTTTGGTTTGGAATATGAAAGAACACCTTATTTCTTGTAGTAACAGCTGATATTACCAAAATCCAAACCACAGTCTTAATGTAAGAGTGGCTGAATTATAACACCAATGAATTCCCAACCTTGACTGGTGTCTGAAGTTAAAGTGAGGGCATTGATTGGAAAGAAATGGGATCCTGACCCTTGGGATAGGGACACATGATAGGGTAATCAAGAAAGCTGGGGATATTGAGCACCTAATTCCATTGAATTACTCCTGCCGACAGAACCAGCCCTCTTACTGTCATCTGAAGAGATTACTCCATCTCTCCCACCACCTCTTTTTGCTTCTATATGTGTAACTAGACTTAGGTCCCAGTGAGCCCTGAATGGTGAAGTACAAAGTGTGACCCAGGAGGAGGTATGCTACATTCCAAAAGAACGCTTGACTTTTGTAATATGTACAAACAGAAACTTGGGGAATATGTGTGGGAATGGCTGTTAAAGGTGTGAGATAATGATATAAGTAAGGAGCATAAAGTTGGATCAGTCGAGTTTATTGATATGAGCCCACTAAACACAGATTCTTCATTCAGTGTTTTAGGTTGAGAGGTTAGAAAAGGGGGGTTCAATAGTTTATTTGGTTGATTCACTGAAATGTGGATTAAGTGATGGTCTACCCTACATCAAGTTGAAATGATAGACCTGCCTTGGTATACTGTAGAAGGTATCTAAAGCCTTAGGGAAATTGGCATGTTGGAGTGGATTTATCAGGTTGGATCCACAGACCTACCTATGGAGTAGCCAGAGGATGCATCTTTTACCACAATGGTGAAAAACAAATTTGTGAAGAGAGCTCCAACATTTTTGAAGACTACTGTGATTGCTATTTTATATAAATCAGATTTCACAGTGTTTACTGCCCTAACTGAACTAAGATACTTAACTACTAGGGGGTTGATTGGACCTCGTAGTGGTGGGGCCAAGTGGTGGTAGGTACTTCATTGCTAAAAACAAAGTGGGTATGGCTACCATAATGGATAGCAGAGTCAAAGCAGTAATCAGAATAGTCTGAGTCATATGGACATAAGGCAGTGGCTACTTAGTCTTGGTTTCCCTAAGAATGAAATAGGTGGGAAATCTACTGAACAGTTACTTGATCTATACAAGTGAAAGAATTCTAGTTCAAATGAAGGACAATCTAACTTGAATTGCCAAAACAGAGAATCATGGCTCCTCAGTCAATTCCCAGAATTGAGCCAGTTTATAGACCCATAACCCCTTGCATGAAGAGGAAGCTGGCTCCCCCTTGAGGAAGGACCCCACCACACTGACAAAAATTTATATTGTTAGTCTTTCTTCGGTCTTTCTTCAGAGGAATCTGCAGTCTTTTATGAGAGTGATTGTTCATC